ATTCGTGGCAAAGAAATAATAATTCAAACATATCTTTCTACTATAATAATTATTTAGATAATATAATTATAAAAAAATAACTAAAAATAAGTAAATTTGATAATATCTTATTAAAAAGCTTCTTTAAAGCTTCATAGATAATTTTTTATTTTTATACATGTGAATAGATGATTAATAGGTTGAATATTTGGTCAATAAATTAGCCATGTGTTGTACATATTGGTAACTTATATTACAAGCTAATTATGTAGCACACATATAAGAAACTTGTCTTGCAAGTAAAGATACGTCTTACAAATTGGACACTTGTCAAAGGTCCTATGGAATATTGTCATATAATTCTTAATTTGATAGTATATACAAATGTAAGAATGAAGCCTTCTTCACTATTGTCAATGCCTTTCAAGTCTTTAGTCTTGTGTCAAATCTTTCTAGTCTTCTTCACTTTAAAAATAGCTATTTTAGTTTAATATTATACTATCTTTGAGTGATTTTTTAATCTTTTTGAATTATATAAGTGTGATCTTTTGATTCTTTGAGATTTATATCCTTAAAAAAATGTGATTAAATATTAAATAATTTAAAGGCTTTTCTAACAAAATTTTAATTTATATATAAAGAACATTATATAATTTGTGTTACAATCAATAAATTTGGCATTTTATATTAATGTAATTATCTATTATTATTATATTCATTATAATTTTGATAAATTTCAATTCATATTAAGTGGAATGATATTGCACTTATTAATCATTTTTTCTATAAAGTATAATATGGGGTGAAAAAAATTGATGCACAATTTATTTAATCCTTAAATATTGAGTCAAGCAATTGATTTTATTACAAAGTATAATAATTAATTTTTGAATTTTAATCTAAAAGCAATACAAGTATGCCTTAACATGTTTACAATTCAATATCAATATCAATGTCTTCTCAAGACATATATTTAAAATAAAAGATATGCAAATTGGTATAATATGTTTTAAATCTCTCACTTAGCAAGGAAATATTTGATGTTATCAAGAAGGATAATGCTTATATTATGGAGAATCAAAGTGCATTCTTTAATATTATTTGAAGAAGTAACCTAATTACAAAATGAAGAGTATATCTCTCAAAAAAGATATTATATCAAAAAATAAGTTTACCTAGCTACAATAGTGTAAGTCCCACCAATGGATCTTAATTGGTGGATTGGTTAAAAGTATAGTATTGAGTCATTTAATGAAATAAATACTAAGGTTAGAAAGTCTTTTTGATTATTTACATATTTATTAGAATTTAGAAATATTTATAAGTATAAAAGTCTTATTAGAAAAAAAAAATAGAATCTTAGTAAGTCTTAGAGGCAATTATCTTAGTTGGTATAGTATTTTCACTCATTATTGAGTATTAATGATTAGTAATTGAGACCAATGTCTATATTGGCCTCATATCTATATGTATTACTTATAAAAATCCTATCAATGATTAGTTAATAGTTAAAAGAAGCGTAAAAAAGAACTTCATGTCTTTTAAATTATATATGTAGAAAATAGAATTTTTACTAGATTTAACATGATTTCATTACTATAAAAAATCACAAAGATAGAAAAATATAGCCTTATATGGATATAAATATTATAAGATTTTTTTTTAATTTTATTTAGAATTTTTTATGAATTTTTAGAGAAAATTTCAAGATCTTGGTAAAATTGAGATTTACTATCTTGAGAGCCATTATGAAGAAATGAAGCAATATTTGAAGATTATATACGGTTTTTGGGCTAATTGGATATTTTTGAATTCCATGGTGAAGTCAAAAATATAAAAAAAATATTTTTACTAGTAGAAAATAGGAGGACCATCAACTTATAGAGTCCTTGTAGGAACAGAGGTGTTTAATTTCCGTGTGGGTTGTAGCACCGTAGATATAGGTAGAAAGATAATTGACTAGTTTTATAAAGTATAATTGCTTGATTGCTCTTGTTTTGTATTGTTATTCTTTTATTCTTGTTTATTACTACTTCTACTTCACACCACCAATTATAAGCAACTCTTAATTCAGGCCATCTTATAATTTTAGGTGAGAGAGAAATTTACCCTTACAAATAGAAATAGTGAAGTTGAAATCTTATATAATATTTAGTGAAGGTCCTATTCTCTCCTTAAAATCTTTATGTTGTCTTACAATAGATATTTGTTTAGAATCTAAAAATCACAAAGTCTTTTATTTCTTAGATTTAGTTGTCTTAACTTAATTTTTACATGAAGACTTTATTAAATGACAAAGAATATTCTTAATAAAGAAAATCAATCTTGTACATGTAAAAATCATAGATGATTGTTCTGTCTTTTGGAGATGTTACTTATGAAATTATTCCTATAGATATAGCAACAAATGGTTATAATAGCTTAGTGATATTTAATATTATTAGGGATTTTTTAATCTAATTATTTCAGATTTAATGTCACTAAAAAAATATTTTCTTTGGATAGATTGAATTTCTAGTAATTTTGGTTTTTTCTAAAATATAACCATGGATTTTATTAATTAATTAGAAATTCATAAGTCTAATATAACCAAATCCTTGTTTGTAGATAGAAGAGCTTTTATGCATGCTACAAAAGAAGAGTCATCTTTAATTGTTTATGCCATATCCATTGCTAATGATATTCTTTATATACAAAAGCTTTATATAAAGCATATAATTTTATCAAAAAAATTAAAATTTAACAATGAATACAAATAATATTTGATAAAGTAAAATATTTTAATTCTAATTTCATTAATTTTAAACATATATATAATAAATTAAATCCATTTTATGGATAATATTATAATTGTATTTTTAAAAATAATTAAAATAAAAAATTATAAATATAATTTTTAATTTTTTAATTTTTTAATTTTTTTCAAATTTTGTTTTAAATACTAGCATAAATATTCAATTTTAATCCAAATAAATTGTTGAAATTTTCTAATCAACAATTTAAGTAAAAAAAATTTAAGATTTAAATTTCAATATCATATTCAAATCCATTTTTATTCTTGTATGGAATATTTTAATTTTAATTTACTTGTATGTTGGTAATTTTTTTAAGTCATTGTGGTAGTAAGCAATATCAAGGCTTATATTAACATCAATAATAATCATGAACAATGAATATCAATGCTTGTGTCAATGGTAGGTAACAACATCAATTCTTACATCAAACATAAATCACAATTAGCACATATTTCAATAGCAATCATTAGTGTCAACAATGTTTGTTCAAATCATAAAATATTTTTTTGCTGTGAAATTGATTTGCAAACACACAAACACTACTGTGTTTAATGTACATACATATAATTAATAAATAACTTATGTACATGTATATATTAGCATTATTCAATAAAATCTACAAAAACATTTTTCAATTCAAAAAACAAAAAAGAATCATAATTTACATTTTGATGGCTTGAAGTTGTAAAAGCCCTAATGCATGAGACATTACTATGTTAATACAAGCAAACATCTCAAAATACACAAAACACATATTATAGAATATTCTTGCAATATCTAGATTAATCTTGTTAATCTCCAAATGATCCAAAACCACACATAGAGATAAGTTCACAATTCTAGCAATCACCAACACCTTCCTTTCAAATGCAATTTCTGTTATAATTTTGTCAACATCATGTTTATCTTTTGCACTTCTTTCATCCTTTGCTACAAGTTCACTTTTTTTCTCTTTTTTTTTTGGGGGGGGGGGATTTTTGTTTTTATTTTCTCTGGAATTTTTATTACCTCCTCCAAGTTTTTCAAATTTTCAACATTGGAAACATATTTAGTATGAATAACAATCGAAGAACTGACGTGTCTTCAAAAATCTCACACCAATTTCGAAAATGAATGAAAAGACAACAGAAAGAGGCACAGAATACGAAAAGAGATTCAAAAATGGGAAGAAAAAGAAACAAAGGTAGGTGCAAAACCAACCAGAAAGAGGAGGTTATATTGTAACTTGCTGTGAGCCTGGACTATGTGTGGTGACCCTAATGCTCGGAGCTCCGTCAATCACACAATTGTACGTGGGGTTGAAATCTGGTAGGAGATGTCCTGCCACTGAGACGATGACACAATTCTGCCTGGATTTTGCTCTTTGAAAGGAGGCATTCAGTGGGTGCATGTTACACGAGGGGGTGACAGATGTAACATCCCAGCTGAGCCAGCTGATTGTGCTTACTGTGCTTTTTGAGCTTCAGAATTCTGTTAGCTAAGTACCCACTACTTGAATCTGGTTTGTTTTCATTTTCTTGGGTTCCTCAAGGTTTTATAGGGTTCAGTTTGGTATTGTCATTGTTTTAATAAGCATAGTTTTGCTGCATCTGGCTTTTATTTGTTGTGTGGAGGCGAGTTTTTGAGCTGCGCGAAGTGGTGAGTGTAGTCATGGGGCAACAAGCTAGCAAGGAGTCAGAGAATTCATCTGTAGTACAGTCGACTGCCAGGGCAGTGCAGGGTGCAACAGGAGTTGCGGCGGGTGCTGTGAAAGATACTGCAGGGTCCGTGAAGGAGGTGATTGGAGCAGTGGGGTCTGAAGACAGAGAAGCCATTAGGATACAAAAGAAGGAGAGTTGGGGTAGGGTTGAGGAAGGTGACACGCTCTGGGATTTGAGCGAGAAGTACCTCGGGGATGCAACTCAGTGGGAGGCGCTTCAAGCATCTTGTAGCCGAGAGCTTGGAACTGACCCTCTGTTGCTATTGCCTGGTAGCCATGTCACCGAAGCTTGCGTTGCCCGTGCCCGAGCCCGAATCGCTGCGAATCGGTAGCCATGTCTTAGGGTTTCAGAAATCAATTTTCTTGCAGTGGTAGGATTTATCTTTATCTGGAATGTCACTTTTACTCATTAGCATTTCAAGATAGGCATTGACGTGTTGTACAAAGTCTAAGCAGAAGTTTAGGTACCAAAGAATCTCATTACACTTTGTAATTTCCGGTGTAGGAACTGTACTTTGATGAAGAAAAAGCGTGAATTCTTCAACATGTTTCGATTATGTAGCTTTAGTTCCACTATGATACGTAGCGTGCAGATGATCGGAAGATTGGATCGCTACTATCAACCATTGGTTTGTGGTGATTGAACTCAATTGAAAGTAGATATGAAATTATTGTGATCTGGTAATAACTAGGTGAATTACAATTTGGCGGTTGATGATTTGTACTGAGAGTCGAGAGATTGCAGAACGGAGTGGGCGATGCAGTAAGCTACAGATTGAATGGTGACCATGGGGTTTACCCCAATTGCGCTCGGCAGGACACTTCCATCACTGACGTAAAGGCCCTCCACCTCCCAAGTTTCTCCTTCTCCATCAACGGCAGAACGTCGAGGATCGCTGCCCATCTTGCAACTTCCCATGTGGTGGCCAGAACCTATTATAATCTTGTTCTTCTTCACTCCTCTTGATCTTACTCTTTTAATATAAGCTTCTATGTCTCTAGAATTTGCTCCTGTAATCAAAACAACCCACATGTATGATGAGAGATATCCAAGTACGTGTGCACTATGGTTGAAGAATTATACGAAATCTTTGTGTGCATATGTGAACATGGTTTTGTCAGAATCAAAATGTGCGCACCTTTGACGCAGAAGCGCTCTCCGTCCTGCTGGTGAGTTCCTATCTCGGTGGCTCCCGCAGCTATGAGTACACGCAGTCCTTTCTCGATTCCTTCCAGAATTGTTTCTTCATCTACTGCATTTAGGGTGTAATCGATTTTCGGTTTGCCGTCAGCTTCCACGCTTACTTGGCCGTTACTTGTGTCTCGCGTGACGGCGCACAGTGTGACGGTGCGGGAAAAACGTCTCATCCTTTCTTTGAAATCAGCAGCTGCCACCAAAATAAATCATCTCAGAATTGGCAAATTTCTACATTGGGAAAAGATTGATTAACCCTTAAGACAGTGTGGATTTGCAACATTCTCTTGGCTGTGACATACTTGACCTAAAAATCTTCGATTCAGATGTATGTTGCTAACCAGATGTCCACGGTTGGAAAGAAGCGAAACTGCCTGGATGCGTCGACGGAACTTCCAGAAGCGCAACTGGAAAGCTCCCATTTTTTTTGTAGATAGGAGAATACGACGTCATTATAGCGCCCTCGTAGCAAGTACCAGGGAATCCAGATTCTTCAGGGAAATAACCCCACATGAACACCACTGGATGGAGATGTAGGCCTTTGCCAATGTTTGGGTTTCGAAGTCCGCTGTTGAGTAACAGGGGTGGGGTCATTAAAGAGCCTGACGCCACAACGACAGACTGCGCCTCGATGAAGATCCTCTTCTTGCTGCTTCCAACTACAGCCATCACTCCCCGTGCTTTGTAATGTTTTCTCCCTACAACATTCAAACACGCCAGTGGTCATTCTTTACTGAAATTTTCAACATGCTTTCCATGTAGGTTACAATGTAGCTAGTTCTGGGTGTAAGGAGAGGTGAGTATTTTATGAACTGTACCTGAGTGGTTTTTTGAGAAGAGGATTCTCTGCGCCTCGCATTCCGACAATAGTACAGCATTTTTTGATTCAGCAGCGTCTTTAAGCCAGGTAGATGTAGTGGAACCCTTCTGGCCACTTGGGCAACCGTATGTGCACCACCCGCAATCGTGATCTACTGGAGCATTCCTCGCGAGCGTACCTACCTCAGCGCTCAGCTTCTCGCACCCTGCTCGGAGGACAGAGTTTTGCAGATTCTCGCGGGCGATGTTGGGTTGCACGTTCAGACGATGCCAGATCTTCTTCATGGCAAGCTTGTATCGGGTGGAGGTGAACAACTCCAGACCAGAAATTTGCTTCCATTCCTGCAGAACGTGGGAAGGCGTCTCGAAACACGCAGACCAGTTGATGGCCGTTCCCCCGCCCACAGTGGCGCCAGCCACGAGGTTCACTCCGCCATCATCAGTTGCGAGCGAGCCTAGCTTCTCAAACATGGCCATCTGCGAGGGCCCTTCTAGAGTGGTGAGATCCTCCGTTCTGAAATACTTCCCTTTCTCAAGGATCACTACTTGGTATCCCGCCTTCGCAAGCACGCTCGCTATCACGCCACCCCCGCACCCAGATCCCACCACAACCACGTCGCAGCTAATCCCCAAATCTCCCCCTGCAGCAGAATTATTTCTATTTCTGTTACCTGATGCCAGTTTCTTTAATGGAATGTCGTCGTTTAGTACTTTGACGCCCGCCCGACTCAGAACCTTCTCAAGCTTATCCCCAGCTGCTTGTGTCGCAATCACCATGTCTTGAAGAGGGTTTGATCTGACACCGTCGTTACTCGAACATTTCCTGCTGCGGATGACCTGCGGATCAGCGCCGCAGTAGCCGATGGCCTTCCAATTGCGGTTGAATCCGCCGTTCTCAATTTTGGTGTAGACTGCCCACATGGTGATCATCTTGAATAGCTTGTACACAGCTCGAAAGGCCCCGAGTGTACTCAGCGACCATCCGCGTAGGATGTCTTCTTGTTTATCAGTCGAAAGATATGCAAAACTCTGAAAGAATGGGAATTGCGTGGTCAGGCTGGCACGCCCTCCCAGGATCAGAGTTCCTATCCGTGTCGACAGTAGCCACAGGAACACTCTGATTGCCATCAGCAGCTGCGGCTTCAAGAGCACATGCAGCAGACCTGCAATCTGCTCCGATTCCAATTTCGCACACATGAGCGCAAAATATCTGGTGCAGCCACTTTGAATCCCACCGAAAATATGTCATCAAATGAGAAATCATGAAGTTGCTTGATAGTTTAAGGGATGAGTTGAGACTCCACTTACATCCTCTGGAACTCCCATGTCTGAAGCTGAACAGGTATAGAACGACGCAATCTCCTGCTTTTCCTCGCATTCGGCAGGAGGACTGAGAGACGGCGAGAAAGCATCGCATATTGATATCAAAGTTCTCAGTTGCGCTTTCGTGAAGCTGTGCTGCGTCGGGGGATTCCAGGATTTCAGCAGCGGATGCCCTGGCGGAGACTGTCCTGCTCTGCAAAGGTCGTTCTCCGGTGCATCCATGTTAGCAACACTAGATCGACGTCCTCACGAGAAATACCTCTCTGTACTCAACTGTGTCCAAATCAGGCTCACCAGCGTCGAGTAGAAGACGTGAGACTCGTCCTCATCATCGAGTCCTCCCCCTTGATGTACACAAATAAATGTCAATACACTCAAACAGTAATTCAAGTAAGCGTCCGACTAGATTCAACACAGTCTAAAACGCAACTGTCAACTCTGCATCGAAATCCATCTCGAACAACTACATGTAAAGCCCCCTAACCCCCCCCCCCCCCCCGAGCAGTTTTCTTCGGTCCATATCCTGTGCAATCTAGTCACAGGAGTTCTAGCTTTCACGCAAAGTGATGACTCCTAGACCTGATGAACAACTAGGACACTGCAATCAGGTAATTAGTGATCACATACCAACCAAGTCATCTCCTTTTAGGGGTCTTTCTCAGAAAGCATGTGGTAGATCTCTTCAAAGCTGGGTGTATTGATTCAACCTGTGTACCCGATTCACACTCTCTCCAGTGGGAGGATCTCGGTGTAGCGTTGTAACACCTTTTACCGTGTCATCGTGCACTCTAGGCAACTGATCGCCAGTGTATCCTGGTCGCCGCAGATGGGTTCAAGCTTTCTGTGAGATAGGAACTGATCCAGCGCTGGGAAGTCAGCGACACTCCACCGATGTACAGTCACGTCTGACGCAAGGCGCGTGTTCAGATGGCACGGAAAATGCAGAGATACATGGCTACACACACCAAGTTGGATGGATTCTTAAGCTTTAGAACTGGGAGTGAGGTCCAAAACGATCCGCATTCTGGCCATTCTAGGACCCTGTTAGTCTAACAAAGAGCTGTGCGTTCCGGTCATTAGAAACAAGGACCAACTGTGCATTCCAGTCATTAGAAACTTACTATTGCGGGACTTTGTGGAACGGCCATGCAAGACTACAATGTTCCTTGTAACGAACGTTCTAATCTAATTGTGTTCTACAGTACTTTTATAACAATTATTTTGATTATTTTAATAAATAAATAACTAAACTAAATCATATTAGCAAAAACCTGTGTGATCATTGAAACATCCATCCATTTCCCTAATCATTTATTTATGCTTCTTTGTTCCCATGTTCACTCATTCTTATATTCTCCAAGTTCTTCATTTTCCCAAGTTCTTTTCTTCACAGCCAATCAAAGGACTTCTTTGTCTCTTTTGTGTTATATTCAAGCTGCCTTAGATTGTATAAAAATAAAAAAAATATCTATATTTTATTTAATAAAATAAATAAATATATATATATTAATTTTTTATAATACTACAAAAAGAAGAATAATATAAAATATTTATGAAAAGAAAAAAAATTAATTTTAAATATTATTTTTTAAAAAATTATTCAATAAGAGTTATATTTAATATAAAATATTTTTTCACAAATTTCTACTTAGAGCAAAATATTTCTCTTGTCTCTTCTCCAGTACACTATTCAATCTTTCAAAAAACAACATAAATTAGAGATTGTTAGAAGAACCAATTTTCTTTGTATTTTATTTGATCCTATTATATGTAGGCTTAAATAATGCAATTATATTAATTAAAGAACATACTTGATATTGTATCATTTAATCTAAATAAAATCTATTCATAGAAGTTAAATTTTTAATGCCAATTCAAACTTCTTCATAATTATACTATCTATGAATCTAAAGGTAGTCCAAGTCAAGTCCTGTGGTTATAAAGGTGTTACAAAGACCACTAAGTCATTTAAAATTAGAATAAGTTTGGTTTCTTAATATTGTTTGTGGTCTTTGTTCACATCAAAGATAAAAAATTTTAAATTTGTCTTTTCTGCAGTAATCATTGCTTGTTGTTTTTGTATTTATTTATGCCTTATATTGTAATTGAAGGTAATTTTTATTATAGGAATGATTTTTTCTTTTTTTATTTTTTTATTTGTTTTCCTTCTATTTTCACTAGAAATTTTGAAATCACAATAATTGAGAATAGAATCTTATTTGAGAAATAATTTTAAAAATATATTTTTTGATTATTTGAAAAACTATGCTATTATGGAAGTATCATAGGTTTTTGTAGATCTATTGTTTCTTTACTATAATCTAAATTTTAGTTTATAAATAGGCTTCACATTAATTGACTATAAATTTTATGTAAATTTTATGATTTTGACTATAAAAAAATATAGAATAGTTTAAATTTAGGTGACTTATTTATATATAGAAATATATTTTTATTTTTATTTTCCATCATTTTTCTTGTAAAGTATTGGAATTTTTTCATATGATAATAAAATTAAAATTATCTATAAAAATATGTAGGTATTTTAAAAATAGATATATATATATATATATATATATATATATTAATTTATATTTCAAGATAATAAGAAAAAATATATTTATACATTTTTATTCTATATACATCAATCTTTTATTGAATCAAGATATCATTACATAAATAAAATATATCCAGACTAAGAATTATGCTTTTATATTTTATATTAATAAATAGTCTTATTAAATTATAATTTAAAAAAAATTTAAGCAAGATTTTGTAATTGGAAAGTTAGATCTTAATGTATATTAATCTTTGTAGTAATATATTAGAAATATTATTATATGTCTTCTTATTATAAAAGAGATTGCAAAAACTTAATCTTCTATATTAAATATATAATGTCCTTATGTGGTGTTTAAAATTATTTTTGTATTTAAATCTATGCTTATTATTTCTGAAATAGACATCTCTCCTTAATCAACATACCTTGTATTATATTGTATAAGAATTGAATTATTGTATCTAAACAATTCTTGGAGTCTTTAAGATAGTAAGTTCAAATTAATATGCTTTAATACTTTTCTTTCTTTTATAGTAAAAAATGGTTTTATTATTCAATTATTTTAAATAAATCTTACTAATCAACTTAATACTAAAAATATCCTAATTAATAACATAGTTATTAATTCATTTGTTTTGAGAAAGAAACCATGTCCAAGTATTATCTTTGATATTAATTCTCACTTAAACCAATATAACTAAAATATATGTATGTTTTTATCTCAAACACACACACAAATATATATGTGTGTATATATATATATATATATATATATATATATATATTTAATTTAATTAATAAAATAATTATGTTTTAATTGATCTTATTTTTTAAAAAATTCTAAGAAGTATTTTTATTCCAATGCTATTCTTTATGGATGGAATTACAACCTTTATTTCGTGCTTATGGTTTTGTATGAAAACCAAATCATATTGCTTTTTTTAATTAGAGAAGTGGAAATGAGCTATTTTTTGCCTTATTTTTGTATATTTTTTTAATAGAATCTTTATAGCTACTATGCAAAGAGATCCATAATTTTATTGAGGTTATTTTGTTGTTGAATAGTATTTCTTTTTACCACAAACATCTCATTCAATTTGTTCTACTATTGATTAACTTGTTTCTAGAATGTTAGCTTAGTATCTAATTGTTTTTTTGATTGTTTCTTGTTTATAACATTGATTATGATAGTACAACTATTTATAAATAGGAATATACTACATAATAATGTGTTTGAATTGTTTATTAATTTTAATAGAAACAAATTCAATTCTTTTATCTTAAAACCAATATAAATTTATAACTGGTATTTATATTTATTTTAAAATTTTATAATATTATATATATAATTAAAAAAAGAATATTTGATTTAATTTTAAATTCCTTTGTATATTTATGTGGTCAACCTCTATTATAATTGGATACTTCTTATCAATAAAATTTTCTTAAAATATTATTATTATTTAAAATAAATAAATATTTTTTAAAAATCCTTTGAATTAGTCTTTGATTATAAATATTTCTATTCATTTCAATTGTCTTAAATATTTCTTCTATTGCTTATTTAGTTATGTAGTATTATCCATATTTTAGATTTTTTAAAGAATTTGGTTTTCTATTACAAATATAACTATTTTAATAATAAATCTATCTTTTTTTTTAAAATATCTATTAAAATCTTTGTATTTGTGTCTAAATAAATTAAATTTCCTAGCTTCTTGCAAAACTTAGTGGTAATAAATTCTTTAAAAGTAGCTTAAATTAATATAAGCCAAGAGATTTTTTTTTATATGCTTAGTATGCCTTTTAAAGCTATTTATTTGTATAAATATCTATTTCTATCAATAAATTGATGTGTTTTTTTTATTATTATTATTGCAATTGAAATCGACTTTGTAAGATTCCTACTTAAGAAGGATTTTACTTCTTCTTCTCAAAAAACTATTATGCTAGAGTCTAATTTAAATTTTTTTGTGATTATTTTAACACTCTTAAGTTCTCACTACTTATTATGTTTATAAACTAGGTCGAAGCTCTAAAATATCTTTCCTTAATTCTTATATTATTTGTACTATTTTCTCAAATAACATCTAAAATATTTAACAATTTTTTTACAAGTATTATAGTCAATGCTGAGATATTCTACAAGTTTATTATAATAATTTTGTGTTAGAATAGCATAAATGCAACTTATCTACTTTGTACATGTTTCTATATTTTTTCTCTCTTTTGCACCATTGTACCCTATTTTATTATATTATTTGGCATTTGAAGATAGAATTGCTCTTTTTTCAAAATATCCAAAATAGTAATAGAAAAGAAAAAATATATATAATGTCATAATTTTTTCTACTACTTTCACTTCTTTGGTGGAAAAAATCATGTCCTTCAAAAAAAATTCCCCAAAAAGTTAAATATGTAGGTTTTAGCTTGTACATAACAAATGAATACATATTTTTATTTTATTTTATTTTATTGTTTTTTTCCTCCTATTCCATCCTCTTCAAATCTTAATGGCTAATTCCTTATTAACATGGACTTTGTCACTATTTTTTTTTTTTTTGAACTTTTGCCTAGCTTAGTCATATTCAACTTAAAAGGGGTATAAGTGGCCATGCCCTTGAAAAAGAGGCCCTCCACCACATGGAACTCATGGATTGGGTGATACATCCTACTACGGTTGAAGAGTTTCTGAGGGCCATTGGTCAGTAACGAAAGACAATTCCACATCAGTGTTTCTGAGAAGAAAGATATAATCAAATTGGACCCACCTGGAGGACATGTTTACTTGCAAGCAACATGCCTACTACCCCATCGGTATAGCCTACGATAGCCAATCCTGTGCACTTTCTTGTGTATAAAGTATACAGGTATGCACATCGTTGGAGGTGAGTCACGAAAGCTTCTGCAAATCTAGTTCTCGGTTCATGTTC